GCAACAGCACAGAGACCTGCACCTTATTTACCACCGCATGCAACAAATTAAAGCTCACGATCTCCCATAGGAAAATCGTCAGCAATAATAATTCCTGAGACGAGGTACCAATCCAACTCGTCGTCCATGGCATCAAAACTCCTAGGCCGAAACATCAAAATTATGCGGAATCTCAAGTATTTAGGGGTAGTATGGGACCGAGGTCTCACCTGGATTCCGCATATCATGGAAACCAGAAACAAGACGTCAATTATCGCCCGCATATCAAGACAATTTCAAGGTCGCAACTGGGGCCAAAACCCCCACATCCAAAAAGTGCTATACCTCACAGTTGTAGAAAAAATAGCTTTATACGCTGCAGTGATCTGGGCGCAGCCAATGGGTACTCGCAAAATCAGGCAACTTACAACACTACAACGCCCCTTCGCCCTGCAATTAAGCAAAGCCTACCGCACAACCGCCACCAGTGCAGCAACAGTTCTAGCCGGCATATTACCACTCCATATAAAAGCAGAGATGGAGGCAACTTTTACTAAATTGATCCACCTACGCAAAGATGCAACTTTCGCAAATACCAGCTATAGTCCAGTCCAGTTCGAACGTCCCTCCACTTCTACCCATACTCATCCAGCTCTCAGAGGAAGTGGAACCCACATCAAAATTGACAAGCAACAGACTCACACCTCGACACACGCACCACGGAATGGGAACCAGATCTACACAGACGGTTCAAAGCAGGAGAATGGTGTAGGCAGTGCTTTTGTGCACTATGAGAATGGCAATACTGTACACGACTGGCAAGGACAACTTCGCACTCACAATAGCATCTTCCAGGCGGAAGTACTGGGAATTACGGCAGCAGTGCAACATCTCATAGATTGCCAGATCCCACGAGCAAATATCTATACCGATAGCCTTTCAACTTTACTTGCACTTGAGAACCATCATCATGTCTCACCTCTCACGCAAAGTCTCCAACATCTCCTTATGCAACACCCTCATTACCATCTCAATCTAGTCTGGGTTAAAGCCCATGCGAATAATGAGGGCAACGAGGCTGCTGACACGTTGGCCAAAGATGCAATTTCCAACCCGACAGCCCAACCCATCACCGTACCTGCGCCCTGCTCTTATCTAAAGGGCCTCCTACGAGAGCAAGGAATGCACCAATGGCAACGTGAGTGGACCGAATGCGAGACAGGCAGACGGACTTTCACCTACCTCCCGAAAGTTTCCGCCGGTCGACTCTTTGCCGTAGCACCTCTCACATACTTCATCACGGGTCACGGCCCGTTTCCCAGCTATTACAATCGCCACGGCATCTCAAATACAGATATCTGTGTCTGTCTGTGGATCAGAAGGGTCACCAGACCATTACGTATTTGAATGTCCTTTGACGGCTGCACACCATCTTCCGCTACCTACAAATAATAGGAACGCCTATCACCGGTTCCTTATAACGCATAAAGGAGCGGTTAATTCAATCTCCAGCATCATGAATACCATCGCGGCATTGGGCACAGACCTTTGCCTACCGTGCTAAAATGACGCTATGGTGTACTGACGATAAGCTCTAAGACTAGTCCAGTGAATTTTACAATATTGGGCTTCACCACAAACTGTGTGTTTAAGCTCCCCTGCCCACAAATCTAAAGTGGCAATACTAACAATTCGCAAATATGTGGCATCTCCTTAGAGAGATGTGTTATGCCTCCATAATGATACGTGTGTAATCCCTTCAACAGCATGTGAACATCTTCTTACGCAGTGTTAGTGAACGCTTGTGTGCCTCACGGTGCACACATTGCTGGGGCACTGCCCAATAATTAGTGCTACAACATCCTCGTGCCTTTTATCAGTGTTTTTATCTATGTTCTTAGCGATGCTACAATAATCAACGCCTTAGCAATCTAACCGCACTCTTCTTCTGCACACATGAGTATTCATGAACTCATCATTCATAATTCAAGATGTACCGTATTTATATCCAACAGAACTGCCTTACACTAACATTGTGCTCCTGCTTTCATGTGACTTCATGTACTCCATTTATCTTTTTGTGCCTTAAGTGACTATGTGTATGTACCTGTTTTTTGTGCTCTCTGTTTATGCATTTTACGCATTGTGCTTTGTGTATTGTTGCCTATGCATTTTTTTTATGCGTACGTCTTATTATCCAAGTATTTTTAGTTTAACTACCTACTATCTGTAACACCACAGCTTGCCTCTTCAAACTGTAATACAATCCTACTAATGCCCTTGTAAGGCCATGTACTTCCCTTTGACAACCTCAATAATCTCCTGGTGCAGCCTCGTTTGGTTCCAGGAAGCTTTTGCCGTAGTTAGAGGAGGGTTTGGAACACATGCCTGTTTACCTGTTAGACACCAGGCGTTCCAGTCCTCCGTAACCTACTTACCTATCAGCGTGACTTGTGCAAGGAAGTCTGTCATTGCAACATTTTTTTCTTTTCTTTTTGAAGCATGTCAGCTTGTATTGCATATGGATGCACAAATAGATTCTCGAAAAAAATTCCGGGCATTATTTTTCACACGTAAGTATAATTTTCTTTTTTATGTAATATGACAACTATGTCAAAAAAATATCACAATGTCATGTGGTTTTCTTTCCAGATGTGAAAAAAAAGGAGTTAAAATAGGTTATTTAAATTTAATATAACTATAATCAAAATATTTAAATACATTTTAATGTTTTCTGTTTATGGCTGGTATCTTCGTTCCTTAAGATACAATGCTATATGGTAGTTAGTATTTAAATTGTATAATTTGAAACGTTTTAGTTAATTCGTTTTATAACTTTCATGAAAAGTAAGAAATCATTGTTACTATTTTTATTAATTGTAAAGGTGTTAAATAAAGCAATGATTTTCTTTATATATTAATTATTATTCATTAAGATAAACTGTTCTGTTGTTAAAAATGTTTTGCATAAAACTTACAAATTTCTGGGCAGTATAGTGATAAAATTAAGTAAAAATTTACACACTTGAACATGTGGAAAGATGTATCCAAAAAGTTATATAGGTGTATTTCTGTAATTCAACTTAATTAAAGGCAGTTTCTTTGAGATTAATAAATATTAATGCGCATAAACTGAAATCAATGAATTCACATAAATCTGTTTTATTTATTAAGATTTATTTTCTAACCTAAGCAAGTCCGTGAAATATGCAGAAACACATTTTTTAAAGGCTTTATTAATGTTATGCGCATGCATTTAGATTTCGAACTATTTCTTAATAATTTGCTGGTACATAGTAAAATTATGGATATCATCTTATTACTTTAAAACAAAAATTCAACAATAGCGAGGGATTTCATTATAAATTTAACATATTTTTACTGGAAAATAAATGCACGGAACAGGTTAGAAACAACGTACATGTCACTGCCGTAATGTGTTGTGTTTTGAAGTCACAAACATGGACGCCGCTTGTTCGGCGGAGTTTCATTCCCCGATAGTGGAGGAAACCGCGAACCCTCCCTCCTTCTATTCTAACCTCCTTGGATTGAACTACCAATATTTAGCAAACCTTGCCTCTCAGCCACTGGTGAGCCCGCTCGGGAGATTATTTTCTGCTTTCCCTAATGTAATCAACTAATTCATCAATTCTTAAAGTTTATTGAATATATTCCATTCCATTCACAATACAGTGTCTAAAAAGACCATTCTTCCTAGCAGCATCTCTCTGAGGTTCGCAGGAACCTGGGTTGAGTACACTGTACCCTTAGAGCGAAGGCTGCCCGAGTTCAGCAGCCAGGAAAATAGATGACTTCAAGAGGGGACACTTTTTACGAAGTTGTGATGCATAGTTTCCTTCCTTAATATCAATATCAAAATAATTTATAGCTAAATGATTTTACATATGCCTACGGTGTAGCAATTAGAAAACAAGACTGATTATGGGAGCAAGAGTGGCATTGCAGTCTAACAGTTAAAAACTCTGCATGAACAGCTTCTGTCTTGATTTTACCTGCAATTAGTAATTTTAGATTCTGATGTAAATTAAATTGGATACATGCCATATTTTCTGAACGAATTACATTTTTGCTTCCATTGAAGGAAATTTAAAATAACTCCACTAGAGGAATAATACATTAATATTCTTTTATTACGTTATATCGAAACAGCAATATACTAAACGGAAACTGAAAAACTTCGATAGCAGAAAAATTTGTGGATCGCCATAAAACAATTATTACTGTACTCTATAGCAAGGAATAGCACATTAAGTATTAGCACTCAGTGAAAATGTTTTACTGTTGATGCTGAATTGGATATCCTGAAACATCTTAGTTGTAGAATGCTTCGCTAACGCCCAAGATATCGAAAAACTGTTAACTAGTTTTCTCTTTGTGGTAGCACATCTTATTACAAAGCTTCAAGCATTTCAAGCAAAAATGAAGCAAATTTTCCTTCTGTTATACCCTGCCTATTCGCGGGATTTAGCCCCTTAGGAGAATTTTCTTTTTCCCAAAATTAAAGCAACATTTACAGGTTATTATTGGATTGATATAACTAGCATCTAGAAAACTATGAGTAGAGCTTTCTACGAGTAAAAACAGCATTCTTTTTACTGCTTGTAGACATATATTTGTGCATTTCGTTACTGGAAAAAGCAGTCTATGAATTTCACAAGAAGTTACATTCAATTGGATAATTCAAACTGGATATGTCACTTAAGAACCATTTGTTATTTTTATATAGCTTCAAATTTGTTTCTAAATTGCTATGTCTTAATAGAATTTCCACTTTTGCGTTATATAATTTCCTGATTCTCTATAACAATTATGTCAGAATTTCCTATTCAAAATAATACGTAGATGATTACGCCAGAGCCCATTTGAACTGAGTCAAAAGAGTCTTGTGGTTCAAATTAAGATTTTTATCAAAAAAAAAAAAAAAAAAAAAAGAAGTATTGTAACGAACTTTGGTGGACACCGTCTGAAATTAAGCGTCATTTATTACAAAAAAAAAAACAGTGTTTTTGCTTTGTTTAACAAATATACTTACTGTTTTGGCTCCTTGACTTATTCGTGCACAAATTAGTAATCAATTTAGTAACATTAGCATTGGCTGCAGCTAAGGATTGGGTACTGCATTTCTGAGGGACTGATTCTATGCAACGTTTCGCAGCTTCAGCATTTCTGAAAAGAAATAATGACTAGAGTCAATAATTGCCATTAGATTAAGATGCACAAAGAATGTACTTTTTTCAATACTGTAATGCGGTATGAAAGAATTAATGCAGAAATATAAAGTTAGCAGATAAATGAGTGCTAAGCAAAATTTAATCTTAAACTGGCATTGATTAAACTGGCATTTAATTTTAAAGTTGAAGTTTTCCTAACTTCTAGTTGAAGTGATTTTCTCCATATGTCAATGCACAATCTCTTCCTTATGATTTACGGTAATCGAATATTGAATTTTCCCTTATATAAGAAACTAATGGCCAACCGACAACCGACTGATTTTTTTAAAAATATAGCCCATATATTATTCCTATTTCTTTTAATCAACTTCATGCTTCAGATTGCTAGAGTAACTAGGCTGTTCGTACATGTTTTAGACAACTTGGCTTTGCTATAAGAGACAGTCCCCTGCATGGAAAATTTTTTAACTGTAGCTATATATTTAAAAGTACAAATTATAGTCTGATATTTGATAATTTTGTTTTAATGAAAAATGGCGCTTTTAAAGAAGCAGTGAAATGGAGACTATGTTTGTGATCTTTCCGAAAAAAATTATTCGTATTTAGCTACTAAAAATGCTGTGAAAGCCATTTTTTTCGGTAACTAAAACAACGATAAATAATGTTAACATTAAGACGTCAAAGTTTGGCTTCAAAGAGAAAAATTGTTCAAAATACATATCCAAGAAAAAAAAAAGGAATGTTTCGAATGCTGCAAAGGTAAGAAATTTAATGTTTAAAGAAAATCTTCGAAGTCAAAGAAAAGTTTCATAATCATTAAAATGTTCAGTGTTAACTGTAAACAAAGTGATTAATGCTTATTTGAATCTTAAAAAGGTCGAAATAAAAACCCAATAGGCATTTTCTTTCTCCCTGGCATATCGCCGAAAGCAGAACTCGCTGCAGAATTCTCTTTGAGAAACAATTATTCAGACAAAAATGGAAAAATGTTGTCGCAATAGATGAATCTTGGGTATATTTAAATGACCGCAATAAAAAGAGATCCATTTATTATCAAAGAGAAGAAAAAATCTTAGAGTATGGTTCAAAGAATCTAAAGAAAGGTTTTCAAAGATTGTTGCTGGTTTTTGGTGTAACGATAAATAAAAATTAAAGAGAGTGCATAAACGATTTAAGGTCAACTCCACATATTATCAGGAATACATTTTATACCCAATTTTCAAATATAAAATACCTTTTCTTTACCCACAGTGCCATCATTCAGTAGAACTGCATCAAGAAGAAAGCAAGCACCTCACGTCAAAAATCCACTGTTAAGTTCTTGGAGAAAATAGAACAAGAAACGTGTATCAAGTCCATACTCTTCACTCATATGCATACTAAATCTTCTGATGTATCATCCACGGATTTTTGCGATTTTGGACTTTTAAAAAGCGGATTGTTCAAACGTTGACCTACGACACTCTTTGGACTTTGGAAAGCTGTTCAAGAACAATGGGATAAAATACTTCTTTCGCTATTAAAAAAAGACCTTTATTGTCTTGGAAATTAAGGTGTAGAAAGTTAGTGAAGTATAAGGGCTATTTAAAACACAAATATTTAGGTAAAATATTTCTGTAAATACAATGAAAATTGTCTGAAAAATATGCGAACAGCCTTAGTAATTAATAACTGTCCGTCTTGTGCTTAGAGTTCTCCAAGCCGCTGTGCTCAGTTGCATGATTAATGGCGTCAGCTGCCATATTGTTGATTCTCGGCACGAATCCCAGAGAAGGCATGAATTTTTCTAAATGTGCAATGCCTGTGGAACATATTAATGTGTTAGACAGAATCCGTGAATGAAGGCCATTTAATCCTTCCATATGGGCTGGGATATATATGTCCTAAGCGATCACGACATTAAACAAAGATCACAGAAGCTTTGTCTACTATGTAGATTTAAAGTTTTCTATTTAATGTAGAGTAGAATATGGAAGACTCTGTCAATTTCCTTTTCATGGTTATTGCTAGCTGAAAAGCTGACTAAATATGGACAGTTCTTAAAAAGATTAGTCTCTGTAGCTCACAGGGAAAGGTTTAAAAAACTCTTTTTAATACGGCCTATTTTTTCTGTCTTTCCACTTGGTTCCACGGCCACAATTTTTATTCACATGATCAACTGAGAGTGGTATAATCTGATAAAGCCCTTCTCCCTTTAAGTCATAAAAAAACTATTGCTAATTTACAAAGGCGAGTCATTATGTCCTGCCTGAATTATTAATAGTTCGAACCGCTGTATTATTAATAGTTTCACGTTAATTTTTACTGTACGTAATATATGTAATATAGTTCTTTAACTATAAGAGCTATACTCTAATTTATATTCTCTCCTTTTTTTGAGCTGTAATAGCCAGTTGGTAAAAACATCCTTTTTAAAAGCTGTCTGCGGCAGAATTCTTCGTAAAACATTTCCTTTACTTTTTATGGTGCTTCATGGGAATTCGCCTGTGGTAATTCATTAAAAGCTAAACTATGTGTACAAAGATAGCTGAAATAGTTAGTAGTATTTTAGTTATTAGTGGTAAAGATATCTGTAATGATTAGTGGTATATTAGGCTATCAGTGGTAACGACTTCGGCGTTTCTTGAGAAACATCCGTGATCAATACAACAGCAGAGATATAGATTCCAAATCTGAGAGGTTAGGTGAATTGATTCACGATAAGCGTAAACATGTTATGATGGAAACATTATGTTGTTATGAATGGGCTGTTTTTAATTTAATGAAGGTACTCTGTTAATGATAGACACGTAACAAATAAATTCGCAAGAAAAGGATAGGTTAGCTTAGTGAAAGTAATTTTAGGACCTCTTTAGAGGCATTTGTGAACTTGTGGTGTGCGACTTCTTTAATAGTTTGACTAGAAGTTAACAACTATAGGTGTACTTTTACTCTTCTTATTCTAAGCAACAATCTATGCAATGGCGTTACAAATCATCTCCAGCAGAAAAGAAACTTAAGTGCAAACATCTTTGGTAAAAATCTTTAAAGAATAAAATAGAGTGATCGTTATTGATTATATGAAGGAAAAGGAGATACTAAACAACGAATGTTACTGCAAGGTATTAAACTAAACAAAGCACTGAAAACAAATAATTATAATAAGGTTGCAACGGGCCAAGATGATCTCAGATTTTATACTCCTCATTTCACAGAAACTAAAACGTTTTGAACTTCGGTGGACTATCATGCCTCGCGCAGCATGTAACACTGACCAAAAACGTTTTTTCTCATTTTATTCTGTTCTCTTTTTTTTTTTTTTTTTTTTTTTTCCAGTTTGCTTAGTTTGCATATCTGAAAAGGGATCTTCGTCAGAGAAATTCAGCTTAACCTCTGAATTTAAAAGAGTAATGAAAACTTAATTTCATGCTTCAAACGTTCGACATTTTTCAGATTGTATTTCAAACCTAGGTTGAAAAAGAGGAAAAATCATATCAAATGGTTGGTGGATACATCTAGTAATCAGGACATAAGAGAGAGATAAAAATTTGAGCTACTCGTGCTAAAACGTTTTATAATATCCGTTATATATGTCTTTTATTTGAAATAGGTATATACTAATACTTTATTTTACTATACTTGCATTTATATAATTTCAAACCAGGTATTTTTATTGCAAAGTAAAATTATTGATCCTGGTGCCTTTATTCTCTATATTTAGGAAACTGCCACATTTTCATTTTCTAAATTTGTTTTATTGACATTTCTCATTCACTCAAAATAAAATCATTCGATAAAACTATCTCGAAATTCATAAAGCCTCTCAAAGAAATAAGGAAACCTGGTTATTTAAAACAATGGAACTTGAGTTAATCTAATTAGTCTCTGAACTGTTGGAATATCAATATTTTCTCCTTGTTCCGATTTTTCTGCTATCTCTTTTGCTAAGAACAATTCTATAGTGTAAAATAAATATAATCCCTAAAAGATCTAATTAAATTTGCATACTATCTCTAGAATGAAAACTTTCTTTAAATTCAAATTACTATCTTTAAGAAAATAGTCTTTAAAATAAAAAATTAGAAAAACATGTTTTATGATATGAAAGGTATAATCCTTGAAAGCTATGATATGAAAGGTATAGTTATTGAAAGGTATGATTATGACTATATACTATCATTAAAATCAAATATTATTGTCTGTAAAACCAAATTGTTACCTTTAGAAACATACTAGCTTTAAGATCAGAAATTAGAAAGCTAATATGATCTAGAATTCTCCTCTTCCTCAAACTAATGATATGAGAATTTTGAGGTAAGCGTAATTTTCAAACAAAATTATCCAAACTAAAAATCTCAGATATGTCATCTTAGACGCCAGTGGCTAACTATACATTTATAGTAACAGCTAATTTTCTAATTTCGAGCATTCCTTAATAAGTCGATTAAAATTATTTCCATATGACTGTGCACTTTTCCACTACATCATTACAGCATACGTGATGCATCTGATATCTGAAAGTTTCCGTCGCATACCTAATTTCCATATAACTCACTTAACTTCGGAAAATATAGTTCTGCCGCCCAACCGGGATAGCAGTTAGCGACGCTGACTTGTCGAACCGAAGGGCCCGGGTTCGATTCCTGGAGAAGGCATTGATGTTTGTAAATGTACAGTGTCTGTGTGGTATGGGAGCACTCTAAATATGCGGCGAGCCGAAAGTCCTCGCGAGAGGTTGGTAGTAGAGGAAGAAGGGTAGGAGACCCTCGGACCCGTCCCCCGGGATGCTCTCCCTCAAAATTGGTGACGGTACTGAGCAAAGTCGTGCTGTCACATGTATGGTGCTCAAGACTCTTGCCAACGACAAGCGCAATCTTGTTGTCTTTGTTACGATGCATTTCGTGGGCTTGTTCTGATGTTAAGGTTATACAAGTGAGACAAGCACAACAAAAACAACAAATATGGTTCTAAATAATAAATTTAAACACTGAATTTGACCTCAAATTTTTCCTCCGTTAAAATCTACTGTCAATTTCCTGTTCTGTATAAGATTCTAACTTAATTTACCCTTCTCCAGCTTATTATGAATCACCCATTGCTTGTAAATATCATCACCATCATTGAAAATTACAGGGGTTGCACAAAATAATGGAAACACCAAAATAAACATATTTCTGGGACTAGGAGGAAAACTATTAGCATTCAAAAAAGCTTGCAGTCTTCTCAGAATGGATAAATAAAGGTCATGCAGGGTTTGCAAGGAAGTCTTTTACAATTCTTCCTACAAAAAGCTGTCAAGTTCAGTTAACGATGAAGGAAGTGGATATGGCTCACACAGATTTCTCTCCAAAATAGCCCACAAAGTCCCAATGATATTGATATCTGGTTCTGGTGTTTGTGGTGGACTTGGTAGATGTAAAACTTCACCCTCGTGCTTAGAAAAACTGTCCTGGACGATGCAAGCTGAATAGGAGGTCTGTTGTCTTAAAACACTGCATCATCACTGAGGAACAAAATTTGTTAGCTAAAGGATGCCCTAGCTCAAGAAGCTACTTCAGTGACTCTCACCACTGGCAGCTTGACATTTCTGAAGATTTGTTTCGAGAGTTAAATCTACTGTTCCCCTTCCTAGCATTATCCTCCGACTCATGACCGGAACTTGACAGCAGGAAGTTGCTATTGCGTTTGGGGGTAATTGGTCTCAACAGACTACTATGACGAGGCTCCTAAGTGGACACCTAAAACGTTTTAAATTTGATCAGGGAAATAAGATCTACTCCATCTGTAAGAAATGTAATACTTATATTTTTACTCCTGAACAACTTCTGACCTTTTTGGTACTTGTAAAAGAAGACCTATTGGAAAGACCTATTCTCGTTTTGAATTTATTAGCAGTTCTTGGACTCAGAGATCTGATCTAGCCTAATGGCTAACCAATTAAGATGAGTGACGACAACAAAATTTGTGGCATGGGTTGGATGTGATCCGCCAGAATGCTTACATAATCCTTGGCAGTAATGTGACCTTGCACAATAATGATGGGCCGCATAGAATACCGCAGTATTGGTTGCTCAAACAATGACGAAACCTCTGTCATGTTTCACTCTCGGCAGCAAACAATTTTTATCATACAATTGGGATGGCGTTCGCCAGACGTAAACTTGCCCAGAAGTTGGAAACAGTTGGATGCAAGACTCATATGACCCAATGACTGTCTTCCATTACTCCACAGTCCAGGCTTTAATGTTTTTGGCGTCATTTTTTTTCTCACGGGAATTTTAATCATTGATGGGTGGCGCTTTAACTGCAGCTCGCCCAAAAATACGCTGTTAACCTTCATACTGTTGTGGTACTGACAGACTTTGCAAGTGCGATTCAATTCAGCAGTCACTTTTGCGGCTATAGTAATCTTATTTTTTTATCACAATCCTCTTCAATGATCACTCAATACATTTTTTCATCCGCGCTGCTATATAGCGGATGCGGTTTAGTCCGAGCTTATGAGCTCGCTCTTTTGTAATAGTCACTAAAAACAATTGATTAATTAATGTAAAACACATTCCTATAAAATATTATAGCATTAATTACTTGAACAAATTCTGTATTAAGACTGCGCTTATTACTATTGTATTCTGTATCGCAAGGGATCGAGTCTATAATGTAGATCTATATATCGAAATCTATATATATATATATAGCAGTCTATGTATAGAAAACAAATATGTTTTCTTCAAAATGTGAAATAAAGGCTAATCTTTGAAATATGGTAACAGGTAATTTGGCGACATTTTGGTAAGGCGACAAAGGTTACTAGCTAGGACTTTAGCAATAATCTGAGAAGTACACAGGTCAAATCACAGATTATTTTGTCTCAGAGAAATGAGAGATCATGAGACATGTAATGTGACATTTTCCGGAAAATTCTAATCGGGATTTTAGCTAATAAGCACTTAGAAACAATTTCGCTGCTAAAGTCAGAATCGTCCACTTATTTGTTTGGCGCTTTTTACAAGAGTAAGAAGAATTGGATTTTTGTCAATTTTCTTTGAGTAAGTGAAAATAGGTCGATGTGTACATGGATAAAGTCAAGAGTGTGCGCAATGCCATTTTTGTGCAATTCTGAGATTTTTTTTTAAGTGAAAATAGGTAGACGTGTACATGGATACCGTGTATATGCAAAAACGCGGCAAGCAGTGGGCGATTCTACACTTTCTCCCAATTTCGCACCTAATCTTCGTCATGATTAAGCCCTTTTGTTCCATAAAAGTTCTAGCGTAAGAGTAATTTGGCTAGCAGATTGTTGGAAAAAATGTTGAGAAAAAAAAAAAAAAAAATGCCTTTACTTTGTGAAAACAAAATGGCGTCCAAAAAGAAAACTAGCAGGTTGCTATAGCAGGGTTGGTCGCCAAAGTTTCGCCAAAAAATAGCCAAGTTACTATAATCCGAAGATTCCCCGAAATAAAAATAAGGATCATAAAATTTAATTCCATAGATATTTTTAGAATTATAATTCCTAAATGCTATTACATTAAAAAAATGGCAAGAGTAGTAAGAATAAATATATGCAATAACCCAATTAAAAGCAATACAACTTACTTGCATACTTCTGTTACATTCTTCAATGATTCAGCATATTTGGCTGTAAAATCAGCTCCAAGTGATGCTATTTGTGAGTAGCATATGGAATAGTTTCCAAATGCGCAACTAATCGTCTGATTTTTGTTATCTTTGGCAGCATTTGCAGCTAGGATGTTTTAGTAGCGTCAGAGAGTAACGCAAGAAAGAGACATAGAATACAAAAATAAAAATTCATATAATAACCATATATTATGCAAATATATATTAGTAACAAAAATTAAAATATTGCAGATTACAGTTGCAGGATCAATCGAAACAAAGATCTCAGAAACTTGGCGGAGCTAAACAATAAATTGGTAATGAAAAAAAAAAATGGCTCTTCAATATTATCGTGTTTTCAGTTTTATTCTATTCACTCAGCACTGCGGATATCTTTAGTTAGTCACTAGATGCTTAGCTGGATGCACGGTTATGTAGTTTATATTGCTATACAAATGAACTATTACTATTAACACACTGCTATATAGATAAATCAACGTAAGACTTATAAAACCTGTTCATTTGTACTTGTTATTAGATCTACATAATAGCAATATGTGTCGTTTAGAACTGTACATAACTTTTGACTACTACTCGAATGCTGTTTGTATGAGGCATTATTAAATGAATGTATGTGTATATCAATATGTTACTATGCATTTGTTCACAATTATTTTATTAAAAATAAATTAGACACGTCATTTTCTTTCAGATCACGCATTCGGTCCGCATGCAATTTTAGTTTGCAATTGCTGTAAAACTCTTATCACTGTAAGAGGCTTGAATATCAAACACTAAGCAAAACAAAACGTTTAAATATCATCAACTCGTAAAATTCGTCTAATTTATTGTAATCAAAGTTTTCTAGCGAGGAAGGTCTTCCAAACTTGAACTGAATTTTTCTCAATATATATATATATATATATATATATATATATATATATATATATAACCTAAAAAATAACTGCTAATACTGTGTTGATCAACAAATAAAAAATTATAAAAAATAAGGGCGATACTTTCCAAATTTTCAAAGTGTAGCTTTGAGATCTTCTAATATCACCAAGCTGATCGAATCACTCACCGAAAATATAAAATAATAAATTAAAATAATAAATGATGAGATAAAAATCGAAAGCAAATATATTTTGGCTCTCGGTATACACAAACTTAACAGATCTCAGAACTCAGAAATTTACTTCTTGAGAAATTAAATCAAAATACAAGAAATTCTATGAATCTTTTTACTTTGGAAACATGACACATACTTTTGTCATATTAGCATGATACAAACACTTCTGCTTTAATTAATAAATACACTGATTACGAATTCAATGTATAGCAAAAGGAAATGAAACAAAGAAATTATAATAGGAATAGTAGTATTTGCAATTACCGAACTGAATCAAATTACGAAGTTTCAAAACTACAAAGCCATTGGGTGCTGAGCAGTAAATCCATTGAGTACAATTGTTTGACATGTTTTAAATCAATATGATGGGTTAGATTAGGTTATCTGAATGAGACGAAGTCGCGATAGCTATCTGCGTAAAAAAAATTGATGCCTTCGGCTTTTTGAGGGAAATTGATTCATATTAACGTTGCATATGGGAAAACCATGCATACCAACTACACAACGCGCCAGTTCACACTGGATCGATCCCAAACCAGGTCGAACTACCAGTTTTCAGTGTTTTTGACTATTCGGTGAATAGAGTGACTGTTTAAGGAATCTTCGCATTTTCACCTACCGCTAAGATGTTTACACGCATTTCCATTAGAAAGCTCTTTCTTCCTTTTAAAATAAAAAAGGCTATAATTTTTCAAACATTTAATTTTGTTTTGAACGCATTTCAAGTTACTTTTCATTTTTTTTAATCGTTTCTTATACTACAGAGGAATTTTAGCCATTTTTTCTTTAAAAACCCCTTTGATACGTGATTAAGGCTTTGCAATTTCTGTTCTTTTCCCAAGTTCATTAGTTGATAAAAAAAAACTGTCAATTCACTCTCATATGTGTCATCTGATTTATTTTGAAAGCTCGTCTTTTCAGTTGGTGAAGCAAGAGTTTCGTCTACAACTTTCAACAGTAATTTTCCGTGGACTTTCGTAATCTTTTAAAATATCTGAAAGGAAATTTTCCAGTTTAATACCCTCTTGGGTAAAATCTGTTAATTGCAAATGTCAGCCTGAAAACAATATCCAAACTACATTGTATTTACTTATACCACTAAATAAAGACATAGTTTTAAAGTTAAATTCTGTACTAATTCTTCCTTGTTTTTAGATTTTGGCAATCAGCTTGAGTGCAAGTTTAAAATTAAGGCACTTGCAAATATAGGAACACATATAGAAAACAAAAACAAAAATAAAGAAAAAATGGCAGCAATTTGTGTTTAAATGAATATACATAAAACTAACATAAATACATTATAAAGAATTTGATTATAATTACTTTCAAAGAACAGAACCTATCCTTGCCCTAACAAGTTACAGAAGGGAAAACATTCTTTTAACTCTTTGTCAGGCGCAATACGAAAGTTAGATTTCAGACGCAATGTCTCTACAAGATTTGTATGGCAGTTATTTAAGTAGAACATAACGTGTAAGCGTACATTTTACATATTCAAAATAAATTTTTAATTTTAACACAGCTTATTACTACGAAAATAAAATATAATATTCAACAAAGCAAAAAAAAAAAAAAAAAAAAAAATCTGAAATGTTTCAGATTTTAAATTACGTCCAAAGGGGCGTTTTTTTAACGTTTTGAGTGTTACCTTTATTTATTAAATATCATGTTTTTTGCACTTAAACCATAAAATTCAGTTCAAGAGCAATATCGCAAAATAATGTTAAATTAAGCATATCTTTAGAATTTCCGATATACACAGTCTCGCGAGCTGGAGATAAAAGTATTTTTTTTTTTTCTATATAACGTTGCCATTTCTCGCTTTTAAAGCATTGAGTTTGTAAATCAAAAATTCGTTAAAGTTTTACAAAATATAAAATCTATAATAAAACAAATTCCAAATTTGGGATTTCAGATGCCCATATTCGCAGCAGGATTTCGTCATTCAAAATTCGATGGCTCTATATGTACCATTGTTTTATCACAATGCGAGAAATAGACAATCATTTATGCAGATTTTTCATTATTTAATTTCTTCAAATATAATGCAGGACTCTAACATTTTGTGGCAACAGTTTGAAAAGTGAACCGACGTTTATGAGTCCGACGCAAAATCGCAAAACGAAAACAGTAGTCCTTCAGGGACAAAGCCCCTTTGGACTAAAAAAAAACATGAAACTAAAACAAATAAAATTTTTAATGAATAGAAACAATGATAATTAAATGAAAAAATACCGAATTAAGAGTAATGAAATCATTCCTACATTTTATGTTTGAAATGTCTGAAAAAGTACTTTTATACAAACAAAAAAAAAAAAAAAAAAATCTTTTGAATAACATTAAAAACAAATTTTATATTTTTTTAGATTTTTCGCAATGAATCTTGAGAGGAAGTTTGCTTTCAGGAAGTATTTTTTTTATATTTTTGTTACATCTCCAGAAATTTAGCGGTTAATTTTATAGCCTTTAAGAGCCGCTCAGACGATAGAGTGATTAGGGAAGCAAGTTGCGATACCAAAGGGCCCGGTTTCGAATTACGGAGAAGCCCTTACCCTTATAGGAGGCAAAGGTGGTCCACCTACTTAGGTACCTCCATAATAGGTGACCACCGCTTCTGGCCTTAGTAGTGGCCAACATCTGTGGACGGTTTGCGCCCGCCATGGAAACAAAAAATAGTTTTTAAGATGTAGAATTAACTATACCTTTTTTCAATTCCAGTTGGAGTTCAAATAAGCGCTGATTCCAATTTAATTGGGAAACTGATTAAGCGGTTACGATAAATCATCGAAATTATTGGAAAAAAGCAATACACAAGAAACTGAAAGTACTCCTGCTTATTTAGAAGTACTAAATAATATAAAACATAATTTCCTAATCGATCTGAATAGGAAGTTTAAAATATATAATTCGACAATATTTGGCGATGCAGTAGTGTTTTTCAGGTTTCATGAAATTAAAAAATTTCTTCAGAAGATTGGCTTGGCACTGGTAAAATTCGCCGGAAAGTTCATTACTGGCAATTAGAAACTAAGTTTTCCCTAATTTTTTTGGTTATCTATAGAATATTAACAGCTTTTTTTACTATTATACATTTTTAGGGGTACTTTTCCGTTTTGCCGGCGCAAGCGATAAAGTCGCCAGTAATGGTACAATCGAAGCCAAACGAAATATCCTCGCTTGTAAACTTTCACTCCTCATTTTCAAAAGAAGTCTCATCCATTTCTTATCAGATTGATTGTTTCTTTAAATACTGGCATACAATTACATAGAATTTTTACCAGATAGTTCAATTTTATGCCATTCGGAGGCGGTTATTAAGTGAATTAGGATGCAATCACACTGCTCACCAATGACGAAAATACAGAAAAGGCAAAGTCAAGGGTTAAATTCATCCATTCTGATGAGAATGCACTAGCGAAGTAAAGCGCTGCGATTTTACATAATTGAGTAAGCTATTCATAAGAATTGAAATAATTCTTGCATTTAAACTTGTATTCCAAATTAAGATTTAACTTAAAATTAATATAGATAATTACTGAGAGAATTAGATTTTTGTAGCTTAGTTTACGTGAGGTGAGATTACTTGGGGTCACGTGATATGAACCGGCGAATCAGGATGTTGCACCACGAAAGCATAGTAAATTCTTAAATTAATGTCCTTTTACAAATTTATTGTCTTTATTTATTGGCTTTTTTACAAAATTTAAAACGACATTAAAATGTTTATACTTTCAAAATAAAAAATTCTTAGAACTAACATTTGTCAAAATTTTTTATATTGTGTATATGTGTGTTTTCGCCAATAAATTCTGCTTGGCGAGATTTTCGCCGGCGAAACGGAAAAGTACCTTTTTAGGTAAGTAGATCCATATATATATAAATATTGAGAGTTCAAGATTTTAAAACTTTCTTTTTAAGATTCATTTAATACCGCTTTAAAGTAACTGTATTTAAATAATTCAAAATAGCATCTATATTTTTGCACAGCAAATAATACTGTTGCCAAGATAAAATACTTGACTAAAATCTTTATATTTTCATTACAGAATATTCTCTTCATAATTGTTTTCAGTTATTTCACAAGTAATCAATCAAAATGAATTCGTAAAATAAAATGATATCTATTATATCACTTAGCCAAACGCTATTGTTTGACCACATCTAAACAACAAAAGCAGAACCTGGTTTATCCGAACTGACTACAAATCGAATAATAAATTTTAAGGTAACCCAAGAGTGATTTTCGAGCATAAAGATAGAAATAAATATGTATTGCATTAATTCAGAAGTCAAACAACAAAAATCAGCGTTAATTTTCAAAATTTTCACAGGACTAGTTTCGATGGTTTTACCGAACCACCATCCTCAGCTGCAAAACCGCAAATGAACGAGATAGGAAATAATGATTAGATAAGATAAGAAAGCCTGGACAAGAATAAGCAAGTGGTGCCATCTATTGGTGAAACCAGAACTAAAACATAATTTCTTTAAAGGACAAAGGCAAAGATGGATTGGAATTAGGATCGTTAACAAGAACAGAAAGATTTTGCCTCTCGAAAATCCAGTTCTATAGTGGAAGATGTTTTTTGAATAATTTTGGCAGCAGAAAAATTGAAAGTGGGATTTTCAGACCAACAATGCTGAGCAACAGTAGACTTCTGTGTTTCCTTTTTTCTAACATATGCCTCATGTTCCTTGACGCGAAATTTTAAGGCTCTCTTAGTTTGGCCAATGTAAATTAAACCACACTGGCAAGGAATCCTATAAATACCCCAAGAATTCATATCCGGAATGGGATTCCTATTCTCCCATCAATAAAATTCCAAGTTCCATACTCAAGGACTCTCCCATCAATAAAATTCCGAGTTCCATACTCAAGGACCCCATTCCGGATATGAATTCTTGGGGTATTTATAGGATTCCTTTCCAGTGTGGTTTAATTTACATTGGCCAAACTAAGAGAGCCTTAAAATTTCGCGTTAAGGAACATGAGGCATATCTTAGAAAAAAGGAAACACAGAAGTCTTCTGTTGTTCAGCATTGTTGGTCTGAAAATTTTCAATTTTTCTTTTCACACTTTCAATTTTTCTGCTTCCAAAATTATTCAAAAAACATCTTCCATTGGAGAACTGGATTTTCTAGAGGCAAAATCTTTCTGTTCCTGTTAACGATCCTAATTCCAATCCATCTTTGCCTTTGGCCTTTAAAGAAATTAGTCTTTAGTTCTGGTTTCACCAACAGATGGCGCCACTTTCTTATTCTTGCCCAGGCTTTCTTATCTTATCTAATCATTATTTCTTATTTCGTTCATTTGCGGTTTTGCAGCTGAGGATGGTGGTTCGGTAAAACCATCGAAACTAGTCCTGTGAAAATTTTGAAAATTAACGCTGATTTTTGTTGTTTGACTTCTGAATTAGTACTTATTCGGCGTGCTATTGTCTCTTAATGTATTGCATTATTTAGCAAAAATATAAATTACAAGACACTGTAATATTGAGATCACTTGTTTTCATCATAAACTACATATTTATTTCTGAAAAATGAAAATATTAAAAAATTGTTTAAAAAAAATTTGAAATATCTTGATTCAAAATTCCTTTCGAACCTTTTATCTTCATTACTTCGGTGGAGTTCCAGCTAAGAGAACTCAGTTAAGCACAGTTTTGTTTTATTTACGAAAGAAAAAAAAAGTTATAATTTAAAGAAAATCTCTGAAAACTTTTATTTATTTTCTGTTTATACATGTAATGCACTCAATAAAATATTTTACTTTAGATTAAATTAAAATTAGTGTAGTTTTTTTTTTTTTTTTCATTTATTTATTCCAAAAAATACATCATGCTTTAATTATTTCGATGCATATATTACTAGTCTTAAATAAAACATATTATTAAAATAAACAAAAGAATATGCATGCGAAAACACAGTAAATTTCAAACAATATTCTGAAAATACATTTTTTGGGTACAACATATGGAAGGGAATATACAGCTCGGCAATTATTCAAATATTAATCAGTTATCGTTAGGAAAAGGAATTTAGAGTTCTTTATTCAAAACTCAATAAAAACATTTAGAAAAACGAAAGCGACTTACCTGCAAAAAAACACAGAAACGCGAATAATGTAATTGTGGCTTTAACTTGAGACATGTTTCCTCAGGTTTCAAAACGCCTTAAGCGGCTTATCGCTGAAAATTTAGCTTTTACATTAACGTGATAAGAAAGTTTTATCTTAGAATGAACATTTAACGCCCTTCGCTTTGTTATTTGATACAAACAGTTTTCAGGCTTTCAAGGTGTGACAGAAATATCTCTCTTCACGGAAGTGTTGCCAATATGACATCCTCTTTCTGATACGATTTGCTATTTGGGTAAATGACGAGACAAAACGAAATTAAAAATTTTGCTCATTTATTACAGAAATTTAAAAGAAAGAAAACTACAGTTATAAAGAAAAATCTAAAATATATGACTCATGTCTATTATCACACTCCATTAATAATTGTTTTTAATAATAATAATAATTGTTTTTTTCTCTAATAGCTGTTCTTTTTTTTTTTTTTTTTTTTTTTTTTTTTTTTCCGAACACAAAGCACGCGAGCACTGTCTGTCTCAGGGAAAGAATACTTTCTCTGAGATAGCCAGGGTAACGTTCTTGAGTTGCTACGCTAGCAACATAATATCCAGTAAGAAAACATAATGAAACCTTGCGCATAAAATATCCGTGTTTGAAGATGCATGCGCTTAAAATGTTTTTCAGTTATTTGACTAATAAAGTAATAAAGGATTTGACTAATAAAGTTCGTTGTTCTATCAAAATGGTGAGATTTCTTTAAAAACCTTCATTACAACAGACTTTTTCTTAGAAGAGACATTGTTAGCATTCACCATATGCATGGGTGAAACCTTGAAAACGCCGATGCATCTTGTCCGTTAGCTTGGAATCGAATCTAAAGTGAATTATCAGTATTCAGTTAACTATTCCGCCAAAGGTTTTGTAATGGTTTGAGTGAAGCAAATAAATCAGAGAATATAGCACTACAAAGACTTCTGTTGTATATGAGTAATATATCGGTAACATATTTGTTTAATACTACCTTTTCATTTAATCTGGGCTACTAATTCATTATTTTCAGAGGAAAGAAAGCCGACTTCATAAAGTATATTTTAAAGGGACTTGGTACCCCGAAACCGATGAAATTACCTATTTTCTAATTTTTGATAAAATAGATGTTTTAAAACTCTTACTATACTGAGAAAAAGTTTTGGAACTGTCTGACGATAATAAATGGTATAAAAAGACTTATATTCCTTTAAATACCACATCCACCTCAGTATTCATTTTCTTTTTTTTCTTAATCGTCACAGTTATTTATAAAAATCAATGTAGAACTAGAGAAATGTTATTAGATGTGACTGCAACTATCTGCAAATTCAGTTTATATGTGTAAAACTTATTGATTTTAAGTACTAAATGAAGTTCGAAAAAAAAAAATATTTTTCCAATTTTGAATTTGCCGAATTTTGAATTTTACTATGTTGCTATGTTTGCTGAAGTTATATTTTTAAATTATACATCAAACCTATTTCAAACCAGAAATGTTTACGTTAAGGTAACACTATCCCATTGAGTTCGATGGTATTTTGTATATTTAATAGATATAGCTTCTCATATTTACTAATTATGTGCATGTGTACATTTGTTCGTAAGAGAATTTTATCTTATCACATCCTTTGATATATATTCCAAAATATTTTATGTGTCACTTAACCATGGCACATTTGATTTAGATTCAAAACTTTTGAAAACAAATTTAGGCTTAACTGCAGAACAAAGATGAGGAACGCCAACATGGCGGATTGTGATGGTGACGAGTTCTATGCAGCTCTGGACAATGAGCTTCAAAAGGTGGAATCGGCCATCGTATCGAAATGCAATATGAATCCGCAGATTCGTGATGATGCGAAGAAGGCTTTGGGTGAGATTAAAAGTTTGATTACTAGGTATGTTGAGCATGTTAAATCTGTAAATTTTCGTGAAGCTTGTAAAGAAAGCTTATTGAATTCAGTCATGCAAACGAAATCGTATGCTAATGCTGTGGCGCCATCTGTTGGGACAAATCAGACTGATTCAGATTGCCGTGTTTTTGTGAGTGCCCAAAACTGTACATCTGATGAAATTAAAAAGCTTCTTAAAGCTGAAATCAACCCTCGGAAACATAAAATTGGAATAGCAATATTCGAACAGTTCATAACAATAAAGTAATGGTGAAATGTGCTTCGGGATATGATAAAGAAAAACTGTTTACTGCTTTGCAGGAAGACTCATCTATTTTGAATCCCTCTATTCCAAGACGAAAATATCCTACAGTTTTACTTAAAAATGTGCCAAACAGCATTATAGTAATGATGAACTGTTAAAAATTATTGAAGAACAAAATCCTGAAATTACCGTGAGTGAAGAGACTTGGAAAGACGTTAAAGTTCGCTTTACTTTAAAAAAGTTTCAACGTGAGAGAAGCGTGGTTATTGAGGTGGCATCCTTCTGTGCGCAAGCGTATTTTAAATTTTGGGCGTATTAAAGTGATGTGGAATATGTGTAAAGCTGAAAGATTTTGTTGTTTTAAATAGATGTTTTAAATGTTTAGGCTACCACAGAAGTCTTGATTGCAGAAATCCCTTGGCTTGTTATTGCTGCTCTGGTGAGCATAAGAGTTCAGAATGTGATAAAAAAGAAGTGCAAGTGTGTATTAATTGCATAAGATTTAATAAAAAGACGAAAAATGCAACTAAGAAAGTTGATGTAAATCATAAGCCATTTTCTGGAACTTGCCCCAGCCATACATTTATGATGAATCTTGCAGCTTCAAAAATTTATTATGGGTAAGTCCGACAATTTGTCTGTTTCTTTTGTACAAATAAATTTGCACAAATCAAAACTTGCTACTCAGCAACTTATTTTATATATGGAGGCAAATGACACTGATGTCGCACTGATTCAGGAGCCGCACTTTTATAAAGGTGTTCTTCCTGGCTTTCCAATAAAATATAAAGTTTACTATGATTCCGAAGCAGAAGTTGTCAAGTCTGCTGTTATTGTTCACAACCAGAATCTTTCTCCTTTTTTGGACTTAAATCATACAGTTTATAATACTGTTGTTTTAGATATAAAAATTAATGGATCTGACTTGACTATTTGTTCCGCTTATTTCGAGCCCCAAACTAATATTGACATAGAACTATTAAAAATTTCACAAATTTTAACGATGAAGAAACCATGCAATTTTTTATGTGGTATGGATTCGAATAGCAAATCAGCGATTTGGCATAGTCCTATTACTGATGCTAGGGGAACGAAACTTAGTGATTTTATTAGTGCGAATCATTTGTTTCTACTTAATGAAAATCGCGGACCTGCTTTCTGTTCAACGCAAGGCTCGAGTTATATTGACCTTACGCTTTTTAGCTTAGGACTGCTGCCATACGTTCAAGGTTGGGATATCTCTGAGGAAGATTCTCTTTCTGACCATAAAATGATTATCTTTGAACTTGTTTTATGCCGTCCGATTATATCTTCTAATTTGTGTACTTTTAATTTAAAAAGAGCGAACTGGTTTTTATTTACTGAACTTTGTAAGAGAGAATTGTGTAACTTGAATATCCTTCTTAACAGTTGCTCTGATTGTATTGCATTAGAAAATGTTGTAAACAGACTTTCTACCGTTGTTTTTAATTGTGCTTTACTTTCAATTCCGATGAAGAAAAGTAAGAAGAATGGGGTTTCCTTGGTGGTCTAAGGAAATTGATTGTTATAGAAAGCATGTAAATGCTGCTAGGCGTAGATTCCAGAGAGAAAGAAACTGTCTTCTTAAAAATATTTATAAAATTAAATATTTCGAATTGCGGCATAAGTACAAGGCTAAATTAGCTAATGCTAAGCTTGAGTCGTGGAGAAATTTTCTATCAACTATTACTGTTCACAATGTCTGGAAATCTATATATAAGTATGGGGTCAAGACCAATTTTGCGAAAAGGATTGAGATTTCGGGAATTAAACTCCCGGATGGCAGTGTTACTTCGAGTTTGAGTGATACAATTGTTGCTATAATGACAAAGAATTTAACAAGAGATTATGCGCGTGATGATAAAAATTCTCATAGAACTATGCGCACTGAGTCTGATGGACCTTATATTTCTTTTATGGACTGTCTGTTCTCTACTTCAGAAGTTAACAGTGTTATTAAAAATCTCAAGAAGAACAAATCACCTGGGCTTGACTCTCTTTCTAATGAAATGATACAGCACTTTCATGCGGTGGATAGCACATTTCTACACAAACTTTTCAACCTTTGTTTACAATTAGCAGTTTTTCCAGCACAATGGAAGAGAGCTCGGGTTGTTTTGATTCCTAAAACGTTAGATACGAAGAACCCCCTTATCTTGATAATATTAGATGCATTAGTCTTTTGCCTACTTTGGGAAAATGTCTTGAAACTCTCTTCATTAACACAATAAATTGGTATTTGAGACAAAAATGCTTTTATAATGATTCTCAGTTCGGATTTACTCCTCGGAAGTCCGCTGAAGACGCCATTATTCGCCTTGTAATATCTTGTGTGCAAAAAAATGAAGTATACTACACTTCTCCTATTTCAAATTTTGAGCTTGGTGGCCATCTATCTTAAGCATGATATAATTAAAGGAAATAAGAGTAGACAATCTCCTATAACAAAAGAATATATAAGTACTAAATTACAATTTAAATTACATTGCAGAGATCAACACAGAGCTCGGAACACAGTTCGTGCTACCGTCGCGTACACTTGTCCGACGAGAAGTCTGAGTGAGTAAAGATGTCGCTTTGCTGCTCCGATTAAGAACTGGATTTTACACGTGGCGCCATCTCATGAATAGAAGTTGAAGTATCTGTCGGAACGCCACAGTACTCCCCCCCCAAGTACCATCGGTACGTTATAAGTACTTTGGGTTAAATTTAACCTTTCTTCCTTCCAGATCTGGTAGTTTTAGGTTGCTCTTTAACGGGATGTAAGCTTTCTTCCGGGAGTGATGTTGATGAGGAAGTTGTTGGATCTTGCATTAGAAATGCTGGTTTGAGACGATCGATTCCAATCACTGATTGTTTGCCATTGCAGATGATGGTGAAATGTTTCGGTGTTCGTTTGACAACTTTGAATGGACCATCATATGAAGGTGTTAAAGTTGGCTTAATTGCATCGTTGCGCACGAATA